CCTCCCTCCCCCTCCCCCTCCCTCCGTCCGCTCTATCCATGTGTGTATGGACGCTGACACCAAGCTGTTATCGCGAATGTCAAATGTCAGGTGCCCCCCTCTCCCTCCCCTCCATCTCCCACAACACAACACAGTGATGGAATGCACACACACACACGCAATGCAGACCAAACCATGACGCGCTCATGACCAGTGAGACAGCCGCGCGCCGCCGAAAGCAGCCATAGCTATCAATCGCCTACGATAAAGCCTACCAAGAGCCCAGTCCAGCGATGAGCACACGCACACGCACACACATCCACAGCCACACCCTACAAAACAGCATCATCTCTCCCGAGCCGCCCTACAATAAACTAGCCTTCCTACACGTGAAGCCACCGACACATCTCATCTTTCGTCAAGACGTCAGTCAATAAAGGGGCGGGTCGATTCGCAGGACATAGAGCGAGGCCTCATCCAGCTGTCCCGTCATGGGCAGCACCGTGGCCACCAGCCGCCCCTCCTCGTCAGCAGTCACGGCGAAATCGTCGTCGTTGATCACCCCCAGCAGGTCTGCCGAGATGACCCACAGCCCCTCCGTCTTGTCGTGCGGGTAGCTCGACCCACTGGCCGCCACCTCAACAACAATATCCGCCACGAGCGTCTTGCTTACAGGGGCGATCCCGAAAGCTCTCAATTCCTCCCACGTGTGCTCCTCAAGAGTGCGATTGTTGACCATCAGCCCGTCGAGGGAGTCGAAGTTCATGCCAGACACGTTGGTGGCCCCGGATATGTCGACCTTGTACAGGTGCTTCTGCGCCTGCTGCTGGGAGCCGGTATCGCTCGTGGGGAATTCTCCATCGCGCTCGACGACAAGGAAGGTCGTGTCGGTGAGTGCGGCGATCTCGCTGTTGGCGTTCCAGTCCTTCTGTTGGTGGTAGAGGAACTGCTGCGTGTGGCCCGAGTCGATGCCGAAGGTGAGGATGCGGGTGAGGGTGGGGTTCATGACGGCGGCTTTGCTGGGGTTGTACAGGGTCGACTGCATGATGCCCACCAGAGTGTTGGTCGACGGCGTCAAGGCGAGACCTTCCATTCCTCTGTTGGGCCGGCGACGCTCGAAGACTGTCGACAAGAGAGAGTAAGGCATTCATTCATCAATGACATGAATATGATAGATCAGCCAGCTCCCATGCCCACCTGCAGGTATCTTCCTGTCGCCGCTGTCGGCATTCACACCCATCGGCGACACCCTCTCGACCTCCGTCCCATTGGCGTCGAAGTGCACTATATGCGGGCCATACTCATCGCTGACCCAAAAGGACACACCCCCGTCCTCTCCTTCAACAGCCACCAGCCCCTCCGCATCTAGGCCATATGCATCAGTGGGCAGCACCGTCGACCCGTCGGCTGAGTACGGCACCTCTCCCGTCGTGCCCTCGCCGGGGCCGTTGGGCAGGCCCGTGATGGGCTCGCCCTGGGGGTTCTTGAGCTCAATGGTGGACACCAGCTCCACTGACGGGGCTGTGGCGTTGTCTTCACTGACCATGACGCGGAAGAGGCCAATCGTGGGTGTGAAGGAGGGGAAGGGGAACGACTTGCCCTCTCCTTCAGGCCCTTTGAAATTCGCATTCGGGCCCTGCTCTCACAGACAGACAGACAAACAGACAGACCAAACACAACCTCAGTATCACCTATCCATCCATTCGATGAAAGGTCCGTCCTCCTCTCGTGTCCGGCCTGCCTCTCCCCGCCTCACCCTGTCAGTCAGCGCATAGAAATGGAAGGGAAGCGACGGATGCGCAACGGCAGCACTCCCAAAACCGCCATGCCGCACCTCAACCCCTCCCTCGATTTCACCAAGCACAGTGAACGGCAAAGCGGCCCCCATGACGGAGGCGAGAGAGTCATTGGTGGAGAGCACCTGGCACCTCGTGTGCAGAGCGCTCTGGAGGCACCAGCACAGCAGCAGCGTCAGCGCGTTGGGCCGCATGCCGGTGATTCAAAGATCCGAATCAGAGGAATGAATGTAAGGGCTGAAAGGCAATAGATCTGGGTCTGTTGGGGTCTGCTGAGGAGATAGATGGGCCAGACCAAAGAATTTCCCTCCAGGCGTTCTCAGCCTGCGAGCTTCAAAGTGAGGAGCGTCAAGGGAAAGGAGGGACAGCTGTAGGGCGGCGAGAGAGGCGAGCTCCGACTACTGAGTTTTATAGCCTGCGAGAAAGGCATCATGGTGAGCGACGGCTGAAGTGATTGACATGAAGGTCCTGGATTGTATTAGATGCTATCCCTGTGCTGTCTTGGTTGTATGTGTGCATCCCTTCAGTTCCGCCGGTCGGCCGCCCGCTTGGCGTTCAAGTTGCCTGATCTGCCGTACAAGCTCGACGCACTGCAGCCGCACATCAGCGCAGAGACCCTCTCATACCACCACGGTCGGTGGATGGATGAGGCGACGAGTGCATGAACCGCCCACAGCAACGAAGCACTTGCCTGCATGGCTCATGGATGGATGGATGGATGTCTTCGTGTGTGCGTGCGTGTCTGTCGTCCAGGCAAGCACCATGCGGCGTACGTCAACAAGCTGAATCAGCTGATAGAGGGCCGGCCCGCCCTGGCCTCCAAGACGCTCGAGGAGATCATCAAGGGAGAAGACGGCATCGTCTTCAACCAAGCGGCACAGGCAGGCAAACCAAACAACACTCACCACACATCCCTGTGCGTGTGCATCGCATCGTGTGCACCTAACTTCTATATGTCAGATATGGAACCACACCTTCTACTGGTCGTGCATGAAGCCGGGCGGCGGCGGTCTGCCCACCGGAGCCGTCAAGGACAAGATCGACGCGGCCTTCGGCTCCTTCGACGCCTTCAAGGAGCAGTTCTCCACCGCTGCCGCCGGCCACTTCGGCTCGGGGTGGGCCTGGCTCGTGGCGGGAGACGACGGCAAACTCAAAATCGTCGGCGGTCACGACGCCATGAACCCTATGAAAGGTGTGAGCGAGAGGGAAGGGAAGGGAAGCGGCGAGAGGCATCAGGAACATGTGTGTGTGTTGTCCATGTCTGCGTGTCTGTGGGTGCGCGAGCAGACGGGAGCGGCAAGGCGATCTTGACGTGTGACGTGTGGGAGCATGCCTACTACGTCGACTACCGGAACGAGCGGCCAAAATACGTTGCCGGTGAGTCGATCGACCGACACAACCGACACAATCGCAACACAGACAAATGAACGGCGCCTCCTCTCCTCACCTGTTGCCTGTCATCCATCATCTGGCCAGCGTGGTGGAACCTGGTCAACTGGGACTTTGCCAACGCCAACCTCGCCGCCCAATAGATAGACAAGAAAAGCGCGACACCCCCGTAGGTAGCGGCGAAGTGCTCACTGGCCGCCATTTTGCTGTGCCGCAGCGAGTGGCTGGCTGGGAGGGACAGAGACGTACGTAGAACAGCGAGCGGGGGATGAGGAGTGGTGCTGCATCAATCAAACAAAGAGTGCCGTTTTTCGTCAATGGCACTCACTAGCAGATTGTGTGTCAAGTAGCGAGAGAGAAGTGCTTGTGCATGTCTACTCGTCCGTCTGTGAAAGCTTTTCGTGTGCGCGGTGGTGGTGGACGATGACGACTTATGCAGACACAATGTACCGGTTTGACTGACTCGATTCCAACGAGCGACCAAGGAGAGTCAAAGTTGCATATGGTGAAGGTGGGAGGCGAGAGAGTCCACGGGTGAGGAGAGAGAGGTCCCCATTTCGCCACACACATCACATCACATCGCATCACATCACATGACATTACATCAGACGACATGACATGACACCCACGTCGTGTGTGTATGTAGGTGCCCAGGCTACACACCTACGCACAGCACACCAGCAGCCACACACGCAAGCAATATGGGCGGACGGATGGATGGCCATGTTTTGATGGACAGATAGATAAGGTAGGTGGATAGACAGAAAGGAGGGGAGGGCAAGGAAAGGCATACATGATATGATGGGGCTGGGCTGCCAACGCCCCATTGGCAGGGCAGCCCCATCCATACCGAACAAGAGAGAGAGAGACAAATAGGTTCGTATGTACAGGCAGGCAGGTAGGCAGGCAGGCAGGCACGAGTTAGCGGCATGGCCAGCCTGCTGACTACTTCTAGTATCCTCCTCACCGGGGCTGAATGAATGCATGGCTGTATCGATCGCTTCCTGGCCTAGGCATCGCAGCCGCGATGGAGAGAAACATCTCGCTAGTTCCCTCATTACATTACGCACCACCGTCGGTAAAGAAACGATTGACACACTCATCAACCGTCTCCATCCTGATCGACCGATCCCTATCCGCAAAGAGAGTGCCAAGCATCGGTTTCTCCGCGAAGGTCACCCGAACCAATCGTACTTGCACCTCGAGCCGTCATGGGGCACAGAGCGCGAGTACGAGGCGATCGAGCGACCAAAGCAGGGAGACCAACACTACGGCCGGCCGCTATCACATGCGCTGTCTGTTCTCCATTCGACCACCCTGAGCTACACTACGTCAGCCAGTATGTGTGTAGAGAGAGAGGAGCGAGGGGAGGGGAGGGGAGGCACACAGCAAGTGTCTCGCTCAGAAGTGACTGCACATTGAGACACATGCCACGCCATGCTGGTGTTGTGCTACGCTACGCCCTGGTTTTCGTCACTAAGGGAGGGAAAAGAAGAAAAGACCCGCCCACCAGACAGACAGACAGACAGACCCACCTGCCGACCCGGCCCCTTTCAGGGACTCATCACCATCAATCGTCATCGGTAGCTACTTCACACGACAGCTGCCCGCTTACCCACCCACCTGGCTCATCGCACCTCACCTGGCTACGGCACAGACAGCTAAGACGCCCCTCCCTCCCCTGCTTCCCTCCCTCCCTTGTGTGAGTGAGTGAGTCAGTCAGCCCATGTACCCGTGCTGCATGGGGCTGTAGCTAATGCCGCCGTAGGGCCCCATGCCGCCCATACCCATGCCCCCCCTGCCCCTCCCGCCCCTCATCCCGCCCCGCATACGTATCCCGCCCCGCATGCCACCGCCCCTCTGGTCGAATGCGCGGCGGATGCCGCCGCCCCTTGCGAGTGGGTTGATGGCGTTGATCTTGGTTTGCAGGTCGAGGGCACCGGTGCGGTCGTAGACGTAGGGGAGGAAGAGGTCGATGGAGCGGCCGCGGTCGGGGTGGCCCATGTCTACCGACGACAGGTCGGGGTAACCCACACCGGGACCAACCTGATCAATGAATGTCATTTGGGTGAGGTGATGCGAAGGAAGGAAAGAGATGCATTAGGTGGTGTGGTGTGGTATGGTGAGGAGATGAGAGGTGTTGTGTTGTGGGTACCTACCTGCACGTCGTTGCCCTTGTTGGTGACCTCAGCGAAGTACATGGCGGCCTGAAGCCCCTCCTGCTCGGTGCGTTTGGGTTTGAGGAGGAAGTTGTGTCGCTGGCTCTGGTTGTCCTCGAGGAGGATGGCGGGCTCGTACATCTGCCGCCGCTGCACCGACGTCAGCGCCATGCCGTCCATGAACTCCACCTCAACCTCGCGCGTGCGGGGGTTCCAACGAGACGCAAACTGACCTGGTGGAGTGCAGTGCAGTGCAGTGTCAGCCAGACAAGACACACACATCAGATGGATGTGCTGTGGTAGTGGTGTGTGGGATGGTGTAAGCAAGTGTGTGTCTGGCTGGTACCAGGGTGGTTGATATGGGCGATCTGTGCGCCCCGCAGTATCTCGAACACCTTGTTGTTGAGCATCAGCAGGTCGTAGTTGCCGTGGATGTCCTCCGTCGGCGCGCTGATGCCTGCCAGGCACCATACCGACACACCACACACACCAACATCGGGGTAGGTGGTGGCTGCTGTCAGTCAGTGTGCGTCTGTCTGTGTGTGTCTGTCTGTGTCTGTGTCTGTGTGTGTCTGTGTGTATGCCCCGCCCCCCCCCCCCCCCCC